ATGGATGATATGATGATGATTGATGATGATTGATGATGATGATGATGATGATGATGATGCATGATGATCGATGATGGATGATGATGAGATCAATGATGGCTGATGATGGCCTCGGCATTGCGATGCACGCACGACGACTACGATGGCTGTTGATCACGCATGACGATTATAATCATGATTGATGATGCCACTCGTGGTATACTACCGATGTTGCAAACGGGTGTTTAATTAATAAACTACGTTAATGGTGCAAGGATCATTTAATTAATAACTAGTTAATGGATTAAAGGATCATTAATTGATAACTAGTTAATTATCAAGCGATTATTAATTATAACTACTTAATGATCAAGGATCATTAATCTAATAACTAGTTAATGATCAAGGATCTCATTATTTTAATAAACCTTAGTTAAATGATCAAGATCGTTATCTATTGAATATACGTAGTATAATAGAGTTAAGGATTAATTAATTAATAACTAGTTAATGACAAGCGAATCTTAATTAAGTAACTATGTAATGAATCAAGTCGTTTAATAATACCACTATTGTTTAGACCGTAACTGCCTCACGGAGGATCGTTAATTAATAACTAGTAATTGCGTGCAACGGATCCATTAAATTAAGTAACTAGTTATGGTCAAGAATCTATTAATTAATAACTAGTTAATGATCAAGCGATCATTAATTAATAACTAGCCTTAATGATAAGGAATCAATTGAATTAATAACTAGTTAATGATCAAAGGATGTATTAATTAATAACTAGTTAATGATCGAAGGATCAGTTGAATTTAATAAAAATAACTAGTTTAATGATCAAGGATCATTTAATTAATAGCTAGTTAATTGATCAAGGATCGTTAATTAATAACTAGTTTAATGATTTTAAGGATTATTAGATTAATAACTAGTTAATTTGGATCAAGGAATCAATTAATTAATAACTAGTTAATGATCAAGGATCGGTTAATTAAGTAACTAGGGTGGATTAATGATCAAGATCGTTAATTAATTAACTAGTTTGAATGACTTTACAGTCATAGGTCATATAAATAAAATACTAGTTTAAGGTCAAGAATCATATAATTAATAACTAGTTAATGACTCAAGTTATTTCATTAATTAATAACTAGTTAATGATCGAAGTTATCCTGGCATTAAGCATTAATAACTAACGTTACCATGACATCAAGGATCATTAATTAATAACTAGTTAATGATCCAAGGATCGTTAATTCAATAACTAGTTAATGAATTCAAGAACATTCATTAATAAGCTAGTTATTGATCCAGGGATCGTTAGATTAATAACTAGTTAATGGTCAAGGATCATTAATTGATACACTTCAGTTAAGTGATCGAAGGATAATCCTAACTCATTATAACGGGTGAGTTAATTGATCAAGCGTTCAGCGTTAATTGACATAACTAGTTAATGATTTCAAGGATCAGGTTAATTATAACTAGTTAATGCCATCAATGCGATTGTTTAATTTAATAGGACTAGTTAGATGGTCAAGGATCATTAATTGACAACTAGTTATTATGCATTTAAGGATGCAATTAATTAATAGACTAGTTAACTGGATCAAGCGATCGTTACATTAACGGCGAACGTATTTGTTAACCCTACTCGAAAAATCTCCAGGCTATTCAGGGTCTCAATTACAAGACCTTCACACTCAGTTCTAACAAAACACAGAGTCGGAACAATTCGACAAAAACTATGACGATCCATGCCAGCTCTTTCATTAAATAGTATTTAAACAGTCACAGTGAATACAGACGCACGGCTAGCAAAAGCAGACACGCGGAGAGATTGTCGTCACTCTCACACAGGGTTTCGCAAAGACCCTTACGGGTGTTAGAACATGTACACAATGTTAGTTAAACCCTATACGCTCACTGTGTGTATATGCATGACAAGTTAATAATAATGTGATGATATTTACTCAACATAACCTTTATGTATAATGGCATCATCTCACCAGCAAATTCAAGGGGCCACGTTGGGTTGCACAGTGGAGCCGTGCCCCGTAGAGGCTGTCCAGACCTCTTCTTCATGTTATAATATGTTACTACACATATACACTATACATGTTATCTCACATGTTAATAATAATGTGAAATAGGTGCGCGCTAAAGAACAATATTATACTATGTATTCTAAAGAGGAAACGTGGTGTGGGATTGTAGGTTACAGTGACGGCATGATGTTGTTAACGGACTTGTTAGGAAAACTGCCTAGCTCGCGTATGTGTGCGTATGTACCCTACGTGTTGTATTGGTCGATTGAGTTGAACAGTTTTGCACAAAGCCTACATTGTTTTTTAATGTTTTTACTTTGTTTATAGTAATGTCATCTACGTTTTTACGTCAGGATGTTTGCGTGAATATTGTTTTCCTGTGTGCGCATGCGTGTGTGTGTGTATGCGTGTGTGTGTATGCGTATACGTACGTGCACACGTGCGGGCGTGCATCAAAGCATGCGTGCACTCTCCCATCGAATAGTAAATGTATCTATACGAAATACATAGAAAAACCTAGTAGTATTTATTATAATCGGTAAACGACACAAAATGTCATGTAAACCGTGCGATATAACAAAAGAACATCTGCCGATCGATCCGCCCTCTGTCGCGCCTCTCTCCTGCCGAGAAAGTTTACTCCTCGAAGTTTTGCGTTTACTCCGCACACAGAAATCCCGGCCACACATCTATCCTTACCTATGTTACTAACCATAACGTTAGTCAGTGTGTCAACTGTCCATAGTAGTACATTATTATCAGGAGTGGATAATAGAGTTTATCTCTATAGAGATCATCTCTATTATCTACTCCTGTTATTATCAAGTGCGTATTAAGAAGGTAGGTAATACTTCTTAATACGCTCTTGATTATATATATATATATATATATTACATATACAATTGGAAAGGTCGAGAATAGATGACGCATGCCTTGGTAATAAGTGCGCCCGCGAACGAATAGTAGATGCGCTGATTAGCGCCACCTACCGAACCAACTTGGAAATATCACATGTTAAAAGGATTGATGCTTGGCGCAAGCACGGAAACTGTATACGTAATCAATGTGTGTGTACACGTAATAGATGTGTGTGTGTGTGTGTGTGTGTGTGTGTGTGTGTGTGTGTGTGTGTGTGTGTGTGTGTGTGTGTGTGTGTGTGTGTGTGTGTGTGTTGATGTAGTCGCAGAAGCAGTCCTCGTCGATAGCGATCAGGTCGAAGGCGGGTTCCCGGAGGAGGAGGGTCGGGATGAGACGAGAGTCTCCGAGCAGCTGCTCGCACTGGTCGCTCAGGAAGGCGATCGAAGGGAGAGGGAACTTCTCCGGGAGAAACGGGAGCAGCGGGGAGAGCCAGGCGAGGTTGCTACGGTAACGGTCGGCGCCGAGCGACGCGAACGGAGGCGCGGGAAAGGCGAGGATGCGAACTCCGGGAGGCGGTGGTACGTCGGCAAATTCGTCGCCGACGATCATGGTGACAACGTGACCGTCGGCGGCTAGAGTAGCGGCGACGGCGTCGGCGTACGTGCGCAGGCTCATCGGCTCGCCGAATCCACATGGCTTTACGAGAATGCGTTCACACGTGGCGAACGAGCGCAACATCGGCAGGAGGAGGAAGAGGAGGAGGAGAGGGAGAGGGGGGAGGTGTGCTGGGCTGTGCATACTTCCTAATAGTTGTGATAGTAACACTGAAACTTATTTGGTTAAAGGTTAGAGCGCAATACACAGCACGTCAGCAAAGAGAAGAGGTAATGATAAAGCACATCCGCAGAGAGAAGAGACGTGCTGGACGTTCCCGCCTTTTTGTGAGTGAAACGATACGCGTCCGTGAAGCGGACTACTTACACCGAGACGGCGATGACTGCTCAATGCAAATTCTACAGGTTATATGGATCGCTAAAAAAGTGGTTAAGTTTGGTAATCGAAAAGTTCGAAGCAAACTTTTGCGTTTATCCGATATGGTATGTAAATAGAACATCACGAGCTGTATTTCGTGCACTTATTGTGAAAATAAAAATACAAATAGAATTATTTCATCTATCTTGAGTGAGCGGAAGAATCCATGTCAAATGTGAAAATAGGCCTAGAATGTTTCCAAGCCCTTGTCACAAGCTCGATAGACATGCAGCGAACTGCAGCGTACCAGTCTATGTTTACGTCAGTGCACGTTCTGCTCTCTATGCCATTGTCACAAGCTCGATATACATGCAGCGAACTGTCGATGTCCCAGGCAACACCTGACAGGGTTCAAACTAAAGACACCTAACTGCCGATGTGAGGGGGGAGCCAATGTGTATATCAGTGTTATCACTGACGAATTAACCATGCACGGGCACCGCCCCGTCTGTGACACGGCCTTTGGCAGGCTTCGTTAACGAGTGCAAATGTTTAGTCGACTCTACTAGTACTGTTCATCAAGGCGCGCGTGTGTGCGCGTGCGTGTGCGGGCGCGCGTGTGCGGGCGCGTGTGTGCGGGCGCGCGTGTGTGCGCGTGCGTGTGCGGGCGCGCGTGTGTGCGCGTACGTGTGTGCGCGTGTGTGTTTGTGTGTGTGTGTGTGTGTGTGTGTGTGTGTGTGTGTGTGTGTGTGTCATCCACCCCCACCCATCCGTCGGACGCGTACGTATGACCAACTCTCTCACGGGCCACAGATGCGACATACGGCCGCTTCTCCTTTTTTCATTAATTATAGCTTTAGCTCCCTCCGCTCGATTCTTCGACGCACAAAATTTCTTCGAGATTAATTAATTAACTAAAATAATTATCAGAGCGCATCGACGCTGACGATGACGCTGACGATGACGAGAACGAGGACGACGATAAAGACAATGACGATGACGCCGATGACGATGAAAATGAAGATGACGATGACGATGACGATGACGATGACGATGACGATGACAGCGATGACGATGATGATGACGATGACGACGACGATGACAACATCGATGACGATGACGACGACGACGAAGCATTTACGTACTGTAGACGGAGAGATGAAACACTTTGCTCTGTCCTACTTTCCGGTCGAATTCGATGTCGCACTCGTAAGTGCCCTCGTCCTCCGCCTGCACGCGCTCGATCGTAAGCACGCACTCCTTCTTAGTACAGACAACTTCGGATCTGTTCACTAGATGGCGCAGCGGATGCCGCGGGTTGCTCGGGTCTTGGTAGTAACTGTAGACCGTCACCAGGGAGCCTTCATTCAACATCTTCCAGCTGAAGCAATTGGGAGAAATATCTGAGAATGATGCTATGCGTGTAGGAACGCGTGTGTTCTCTGCACGCTACGAACCTTTATTTAACCGCTATGAGCCTTTATTCAACATATTCCAGCTGAAGCAATTGGGAGAAATGTTCACAAAGTTATGCATGTAGAAATGCGTGGGCTCTCTGCACACTACACTCAATGTTTTAATAGCCTAGTCGAATGTTAGGAGTAATTATAACGATACGGGTGACAGCGTTATAAAATTATTGCAACATTATCATCCGTGAAGTTAATTTTACGTGTGAGCACTTAAAGCTACTTTATTAATGGCAACGCGATTGCTAATATTTTTGCAATCACCTATAATGTAATTGTCTACTTAATTAACGTTTGTTATTGAGAGCGAGTGGGTTGCTAATGATAGCGACGTATAGTGTCTCTCGCCACATGATATATATATATATAGTATAATATATATATGAAGGTTTTACGTTGTGATGAACGGGTCAGTAGATATAGGATTTCAACTGATAGTTCAAGTAATAGTATGTACTAAGATGTGTAAATGAAAACAAAACTCCTGCTACTTTCCTTGATCAGTCGCCAATGACAACGTGAACCATTACTCAGTAACAAGGTAAGCAACCTGCCCATGGCCACGTGATCAATAGCCACGTGACCACAACGTCACCAATTAAACAATAACCACGTAATAAGTTAACCAATGGCCACGTGATCAATCATCGAATGGTCACGTGATTCGTTAACCGATCAGTTGGACTTCACTATCGACTAGGGATACCGCTGTCGGAAACATCGCAAGAAGTCATGACGTCATAATTCTACAAATGTCGCGAATTTTGAAGTGGAATATCGTGCCATTAAAATCACGACATTTCAGACTTACATGATTGCAATTTTATTACTTACGATGCCACAACTATTTAACAATGTTTCCGAGCCGCAGATACGCGACGAAGAATAATTCACGCACACAGAAAATCCGTCGAATGAAAAAAAACTTCTAACACGACATGACGCGAATCTACGCGCGCGTGTGGCGTATAAAGTCGGCCGCTAGCACGACCGGTCACCGATCCCATCGTCGGGGGGTTGGTACGTAGTATGTAGTAAGCGCCGTAAGCGATGAGGTGATGAAGACGGAAATGACACAGACAGGCAACGACATTGCGAAATGTACACGAGCGCGATTGGAGATGTTGTGTGAATAAATTAATTTATTTAATCGCGTGAAAGATATAAACGACTTTACTACAGCTAGACGCATACGGTATGTTACATCGCGGTTGTTGTCCCTAGCGACCGCTAGATGTCGCGCGCGTGTGGAAGCAGAACGATGCTGGCTTTCCTACGCATAATTAAGAACACTTGCGGTAAGGTAACGAAATCGAAATAGATGCATATCATGTTCTGCTTAGCTGCCGATTAGGCGTTAAGTGTTGTAATGCAAGAATCAAAGAATCAAGAAATTTAAGAAGACGGGCGCGGAATAAATGCATTGCATAGTAGTTTTCAGAAGCTTTTTTTTCATACAAGTTTTTTTTCTCATCTCGTTTACATGGTCTAAGCTATAAATAAATAGTAAACACGGAAATAACTAAAAAAAAAACAAGCAGAATCGTTTGTTTATATACAACGCGTGACGTGTCTACATGTTTACATGTTCTTACGCCATATTTGTGAACCCTGCATGGGCGCATTTAATTCCGGTCCACTGACGCACAGTGGATTTAGAGCTAACTATAACTGGTACGGCTATAGCGATGGATTGAATCAAAGCTTCATTGGTGAAAGAGTTATGGCAAGCTGTAAAGCTGTACCACCACCTCGTTACCACATCAAACAACAGCAGTATCTCATTCGCAAGTGGGATGGGAACGTGAATTCAATCCCATTTTCGCGAATCCCCGCAAAGCCATAAAATAAAACACGAACGATGATAGGTGTTTCTTTTTCATCGAAGAATATTTCCCTCGCGCATCGTAAAAATCTACGCGGGTTCTCTTTTTTTTCACGCGGCGGCGGCCGGTGTTAACTGCACTCTGTACAGCTGCTGGTTGATGATTCATTGCAAGATGAATCTACTGCAATGACGATGGATCGGTCTAGCGGAAAAAAACGATTCTTTCCGTTGATGATGATGCAATAGGGAATGGTTCGACCGCTAGGGGCGCATCGAAACGAAAGAAATACGAAATGGCAGGGGAACTACGAAACGAAATTTCTGCAGATTTTTTTTGCGGGAAAAAATAATTACGACAGCGCCTTCAGCGAAGCGTGGCTGTAGCGCATGATTCTGTACACGATGTTTGAAAAGAAACAGGTGCCGTGCGCTGACGGCCGTAAAAATCTCTCAGAGTTCTCTTTCTCGCACAGACATTCCCGCCATTTTCTCTCCGAGGCGAGCGGCGCTCGTTGGTTCTCTTCTCTCCTCTTCGCAGACGACGTCCGCCGGTTTTGACGATGTTTTTGACCGGAAGATGGCGCCACTTTCACAAGAAGAGCGTTGCCACGGACGCCAGCGTCAGTGCCAGGGCGGGTAGGAGGAGGTGATGGCGACTGCTGCTGCCGCTCGTGCCGTCAGTGCGAACTACTGCAACGGAAGGATGGTGTGAAGGCCTGAACGAACGGGATCGCTCTGGTTGCGGTTTGTGTTATCTTCCCGACACGCATCTGAACATGGATTCATAACCAATCTGTCTACTAACACAACTAATGAGAGAGAGTGAGAGAGAGAGAGAGAGAGAGAGAGAGAGAGAGAGAGAGAGAGTGAGAGAGAGAGAGAGAGAGAGAAAGAGAGAGAGAGAGAGAGAGAGAGAGAGAGAGAGAGAGAGAGAGAGAGAGAGAGAGAGAGAGAGAAAGAGAGAGAGAGAGAGAGAGAGAGAGGAAGCGAGCAAGAGAGAAAGAGATAGA